CTTGATCAATTTATAGTCTTTTACCTTATAAGCAGATTGGCAATGATTAGAGGTAGAGTCTAGTGAATTCCTTTTTCTATGCAGTTAGCTGGATCATAGGAGCTTGGCCTATAGTCTTGTTAGCATCAGTCTTTAACCTATAATCCCTCCCTTATTTAAATTACTCTATTTTTTTGTCCTTGTTTAGAAGAAAATCATAGTATTTTGCAGATCTTTAGATTACTCTCAATTGCATATACCTAATGTAAGTTTGATATTTTTGCTTTCTTTTACTATTCACTGCAGCTGTTATGATTATTAGTTTTGTGGCTTAAAAAAGATATTTGTATTTTCCTTAGTTTTTCCCCTCATTCAACCCTATAAGAATGTTTATGGAATAAAACATATGGTAAAAAGTGAGAAATTCAGGTCATTAGAGATTATTCCATCTCTTAATATTGCTATATTATTTTTAAAATTTTGTTATATTTAGGACTGAAGGTAACAATAACATAATTTTGAATACTGTATGTTTTGTATTCTCAGGTCCTAGATATTTTTGATAATTATGAGAATCAGTTGATAGGCTCTAACCAGGGAGCTTTGTAGATATGTATATTTCTAAGATATTCATTATATGGTTAACTTAATAGGTAAAAGGGTTCTATTAGCAAAAGGCCTGTGACTTTGTTGCCAAATTAGATAAATTTTGTTCCCTGGTCACAGAATTTATCTCTAATAGACAGTAATCATTTCATAGCCAATTAATGAAAAATCATTTCACAGCGTATATGTATTTGTGATTGTGAGATGTAGTTTAATACTGTCGTCAATTTATAAGCTAAGCTGCTATCTGTGTAAGTGTCAGTTTTTCTATACTACAATAGTGTTGCTAACGATGGGGTTACAATCCAAGAAGTGTTTTCTTAGGCAGTTTTGTCATGGGAACATCATGGAGTGTACTTAAATCTAGATGGTATAGTCTACCACACACCTAGGCTAGATGATATAGTCTGTTGCTCCTAGGCTGCAAATGTGTACAACATGTTACTATACTGAATCCTGCAGGCAGTAGAAACATAATGAAAAGTGTTTGTGTATTTGAACATATTTAAATATAGAAAAGACATGGTAAAAATACAGTATTATAATATTAGGAGACCACCCTTGTATATGTGATCTGTTGTTGACTGAACTATTGTTATGCAGCACATTACAGTACTTGATGCGAGTAGATTTTGAATTCCTGAGCTTTAAGGATTAATAAATTATTAATCCAAAAGTAGGAGGAAATGGTAGAAGAAGAAAAGAAAGGTAACCAGTGTGTCAAAATATGAATGAGAAAATACTAGGAGGGCAGGTGTGGTGGCTCATGTCTATAACCCTAGCACTTTGGGAGGCTGAAATAGGCAGACTGCTTGAGCTCAGGAGTTTAAGAGTAGCCTGGGCAACATAATGAAACCCTGTCTCTACAAAAAATACAAAAGTTAACTGGCATAGTGGCACACGCCCATAGTCCCAGCTACTTGGGGGCTGAGGCAGGTGGATCATTTTAACCAGGGAGGTTGAGGCTACAGTGAACTGAGATTGTGCCACTGAACTCCAGCCTGGGTGACGAAGTAAGACCCTGTTTCAAGAAAAGGAAGGAAGGAAGGAGGGAAGGAAGGAGGGAAGGAAGGAGGGAAGGAAGGAAGGAAGGAAGGAAGCAAGCAAGCAAGCTAGCTAGCTAGTGATTTAGGAAGGAACAAATGATCTAGTCAGAAAAGGAGCAGTGTGCATAGCCCAGGCAAAGTGAGAAGGATATTAACACATGGAGAGTCTTTAAAGGAATCAGCCATCATCCTTTATACCTTATGCTGATTTGTCTTATATTAATATACAATGTATATTAACAGATTAGGAAAATTGAGCTGATAGTGTTTCCAATTCTTTTTCTCATTTTGGGCTCCACAGAAACAATATGATTTGTACAATCAGCAGTTTACACTAAGGTAAACTGACAAGGCTGAATATGAACTCCTTTGGTCTTAGCCAGTCTGAGGAGCATGCTTGTAACCCATTTAACATTTTGGACTAGGAATCTCTGCCATAGACCAGTGGTTCTCAAATGTTAGCAAACATCAAAATTACTTGGAGGATTTTGGGAAAAAAAATATTGTTGGGCACTGCCCCATTGTTTCCTATTCAGTACTGGGGTGGGACCTTGGAATTTGCACTTCTGGTGATTTCCCCAGGTGATACTGATGCTATTCTCCCAGGGATAGTCTGATAATCTCTGCTCTAAAATAAATTAAGTAACCTGCTTACCTTGTGAAAAATCGTTATTTTTCAGTTGTTTCAAAGCAGCAAAACATAGTTTCTGTAGATGATAGTGATTGGATAATTAGGTGCCTCACAATCTCTTATTTCTGTTTCGTTGTTAATTACTAGGCACAAAAGGATGCCCTTCTTCAGTACTCTGAGTACTTATAATCATGCATCATAGATTATCACTGAAGCATAAATAACAACTTGTTTAAAACAGAAAAGTTGAAATTCAGACCTCATTTATTTTTACATTATTTTGTGATTCTGTTTTCCCTTTTACTTTTAAAAGAAATCTGCAGTACCTGCATTTGTCACAAGATGGCATCAAAAGGCTGAAGATGCCTACTGAAATTTGATTTTTGAGACTGTTGATGGGTTAGATTTCATGTTTATTCAGACCAAGTATAGCAAAAGAAATTTGAGCTATGAGGTTTTTTAATTTCAGTGAGATAGTGGTGTTTTCATGTCAAAATATTTGACTTATAAAAATAAAAAAACGTACATATATTGATGTCATTTATGACAAATTCTTCTGGAAATTAATGAACATACGTCTTGACCTAATAATATCAAATCTCTTATTACCATATTTCCCCCAGAAGAATTTTAAACAAGTTAAACTTAGCAAACATTTATTATGTCTTACTATTCTACAATTTATAAGGTTTTATTATGCTAGTACAAGATATAGTTTCTGCCTTCAATAAGCTTCAAATTTAACTGGGGAGAAAAGAAATGTATATACAATTCAATGAGAGAACAAAATAATAAAAGTGGTCAAGTACAATGTTGTGTTATAAGACCTGTACAAACTATAAACTGGAATAATGGAAAATAAAGTAAAAAATCTACATGGTATTTTACAAAAACATTTTTGTGTCAGTTGAAAACACCATGTTAAACTTTTACTGTGATTATCTACTCTGTTGTGGTTTATTTTATGTGAGAAAATGTTCTTAACGTGAAGAGCTATGTAAGTGTAGGTATTTGACAGAAACAAAACATTAGTACTTACACACTAGAACTCTGAACTCTTATTTTATGATTAGACTTTTAAAATGATTAATTGAAAAAGATTTTTCAGAAAAGGGTGAAGGGTTTTCTGGTCACACAGACACTAATTACAATATGTTTAGATTTCTGGAATCTGAAAAATATATCTATTGAAAAATCAAGGCCGGGCGCGGTGGCTCAAGCCTGTAATCCCAGCACTTTGGGAGGCCGAGGCGGGTGGATCACGAGGTCAAGAGAGCGAGACCATCCTGGTCAACATGGTGAAACCCCGTCTCTACTAAAAATACCAAAAATCCCCTGGGCATGGTGGTGCATGCCTGTAATCCCAGCTACTCAGGAGGCTGAGGCAGGAGAATTGCCTGAACCCAGGAGGCGGAGGTTGCGGTGAACCGAGATCGCGCCATTGCACTCCAGCCTGGGTAACAAGAGCGAAACTCCGTCTCAAAAAAAAAAAAAAAAGAAAAAAAAGAAAAATAAAGTATAGAATAGTTGTTGCTGGAGTATGAAGAGAGGAAAAGGGGGTGTTGCTGTTTAATGAGTGTTAGAGTTTCAATTTTGCAGGAATGGTTTTGAAGATCTGTTTCACAGTGTGAATATACTTACCGCTACTGAGGTGTACAATTAAAAATGGTTAAAATGACAAATTTTATGTTGTGTTTTGCCATAATAAAAAAATCAAGTGCATTACTATAAATTATTAGCAACTAATAGTTTTTTTATAGAGGATCAACAAAGCTGCTAGCTTTATTTAAGCCATTAGGAGCTACTCGAAAAAAATAAAAGCCCCCTTAAGAAGTGTATAGTATAATTGCTGATAAAATATTAACCTAATATTAACAGCTAATTTTCTGGAAGTCTAATATATAACAGATAATATTCTAGAGATTTTAAATAAATAATAATAATAATAATTATTATTATTATTATTATTATTATTGAGATGGAGTCTTACTCTGTCACCCAGGCTGGAGTGCAGTGGAGTGATCTTGGCTCACTGCAACCTCCGCCTTCTCGGTTCAAGTGATTCTCCTGCCTCAGCCTCTTGAGTAGCTGGGATTATGGGCACGCGCCACCATGCCCAGCTAATTTTTATATTTTTAATAGAGATGGGTTTCACCATGTTGATCAGACTGGTCTTTACTGCTGACCTTGTGATTGCCCGCCTCAGCCTTCCAAAGTGCTAGGATTACAGGTGGAGCCACCGTGCCTGGCCGTTAAATAAATTATTTCTAATCTTCAACTTCAAAATAATACAGGGAAATTGTCATCTTTATTTCCCTATTTTATCATTAGGGAAACTAAGTTTTATAGATATGAAGGTTTAATTCCTTATTGAAAGTTGCAAATTTTCTAATTTTGGCATTAGTATTTAAAACCAACTGTCTACCTTCAAAATCTATTTTCTGTGTATTACACAATGCCTCTAATTTAAATAAAACTAATAATACAAATGAACAGTCAGCAGTTTGGCACTCTAGTTTTGCTATCTCTGTGGTTAATAAATGTTATCTATCTCATAAAATTACTCTGAAAAATTAAAAGAACGTATACATTATTTAATTTACAGTAGTAATTAGGATTATATTTAACTTCAGAAGGATAACCATATAATTTTTTGTTTGCTTGAATTTTTGTCTCTTTTTGTTTTTTTTTAACTTTTGGGAACACTAATTTCTTTTCCCCTGTGTCTTCATGTGCAGGTTATGTGGGTATGTAATTTGTGCCGAAAACAACAAGAAATCCTCACTAAATCAGGAGCATGGTTTTATAATAGTGGATCTAACACACCACAGCAACTGGATCAAAAGGTTCTTCGAGGGCTAAGAAATGAGGAGGCACCTCAGGAGAAGAAAGCAAAACTACATGAACAGCCCCAGTTCCAAGGACCCTCAGGTGACTTATCTGTACCTGCAGTGGAGAAAAGTCGATCTCATGGGCTCACAAGACAGGAATCTATTAAAAATGGGTCAGGCGTGAAGCACCACATTGCCAGTGACATAGCTTCAGACAGGTAAACATTTTATTTAATCTTTAGGTAAATGTATTACTTTTAATCTTCATTCCAAACAGAGATAACAATATATGAAATATTTAGGCAACAGTGAGTTGTCTAAGTAATGTAAACATTCATGTGTTTCTCAAAAATACTGTATGTGATGTTCAGCACTTGACTTACCATAGGTCTGAACTATCTTAGGTTTGATGTGGGAGTTTTAGGTTATCAGATAGATTTCCCAGAATAAAGAAGTGAAATTAAACAGAAAACTTAGAAGTTTTTGTCACAGACTGGCATTGGACTAATGGGAATGAAGAAGAGATGGCTATAAGATACTTTATAGAGGTTGGATTGAAGGGACTAGTTGGAAGTGGGAGTTAAGATAAAGGGGTAGGTTAACAATATCTCCAAAGGTTCTATCCTGGGCTGAAGGGTGGTATGATTTTTCAAGCAAGTAATATGCAGATCCAACAGCAGGTTTATAGTGAAGGATTTCATGAGTTTGATATATCCATGTGCTAACTCTGTTGTAACTATTTTGGCTCAGTTTTATAGGCTTCTCCATATTCAAAGGATGATACGTAAAATAGTATATAGGGCTCTTATATTTTCCACCTTTGGAAGGAGAAGAATGAAGGATTTTGATGGGAAGATTTTTTTTTTTTTTTTTTTTTTTTTTTTTTTTTTTTGAGACTGAGTCTCACTCTGTTGCCAGGCTGGAGTGCAGTGGCACGATCTTGACTCATTGCAACCTCGGCCTCCTGGGTTCAAGTGATTACCCTATTTCAGCCTCCCATGTAGCTGGGACTACAGGCAAGCACCACCATGCCCAGCTAATTATTTGTATTTTAGTAGAGAAGGGGTTTCACCATGTTGGCCAAGATGGTATCTATCTCCTGACCTTGTCATCCACCTGCCTCAGTGTCCCAAACTGCTGGGATTACAGGTGTGAGCCACCGCACCTGGCTTATTTTTAGATACCTTATTTTTCTGTTTGAATGAAGATAATTTATATCTTGTTTATACTATTTCTGTGGCCAAGAAGTAGCAGGTACATTTCTGTGTTGAAAAAGTACAAAGTCATGCAAGAAAGCCCTTAAAGAAGGTAAGAAACCTAGGACCAAAGCACCCAAGATTCAGCATCTTGTTACTCCACGGGCCCTGCAGCACAAATGGCAGCATATTGCTCTGGAGAAGCAGACTACTAGGAAAAATTAGGAAGAAGCTTCAGAACATGCTACACTTTTGGCTAAGAGAATGAAGGGGGCTAAAGGAAAACACCAGGTACTCATTGCTGAGACGCAGACTTTCCTCTCTGTGAGCTTCTACTTCTAAGTCTGAATCCAGTCAAAAATAAGATTTTTTGAGTAACAAATCGGTAAGAACAGACTAAAAAAAATGGATAATGGGAATATAGACTCCATTTAATTAAAAGTTAGCCACATGAGGGTAGCTTTTTCTGGAACTTAGAGAGTCAGGTTTAGGAAGAATAAAAGAAAATACTAAAGTACTAGGTCACATAATAGAATATTAAGTTTTAGAATGCATTTCATCAGGAAGTTGTGTGTATTACAAATAAATTCAATACATTTATGAGTAATTAATTCATCATAGACAAGCTAAAGCCTGTCTGTAATCTTTGAAGAAGGTGGTAATGAGAACAAATAAAAATCTTGCATTCCTTAATGCCTCTTTCGTTCACAAGTACTGGCCTGAATAAACAATTGAATCTGACCTGTTGTGGGGAGACAACAAGCTATCGTTCCTTTTACTATTTTCTCTTTTGCCTGGTGCTTTGGCTGCTATTACTAATAAATTCATGCTTAATGACTCGAAACATACTGTATATCTTCTTTCCAAACCTTACAAATACCCAATGGTCACAAAAATTACTTTTAGTAGGGAAGAAGTTAGAGTTTATTATCAGATTTCGTAGTTATCCCTAGAAAATGGAACTCATTATAATTTACACAAACTTTTATTTGGGAAACACTTTAAAAGTATTTGTTTTATTTTTAAGTGCAATTATACAATAGTTAATTAGGCATTTACCTGTAGCCAATATTGAATCCTTTGAATTTTTTCTCCTACAGCAAGGGGTCAGCAAACTATGAACCTCGGCCAAATTTAACTTACCACTTGGTTTTTGTAAACAAAGTTCTATTGGAACACAGCCACTCCTGTTCATTTACTTATTGTCTGTGGCTGCTCTCAGCTACAATTCCATAGTTGAATAGTTGTGAAAGACCATATGGGTGTCAAAACTGCAAATATAGGCCAGGTGCAGTGGCCCATGCCTGTGATACCAGCATTTTGAGAGGCCGAGGAGGGCGATCACCTAAGGTCAGGAGTTTGAGACCAGCCTGGCCAATATGGTGAAACCCTGTCTCTACTAAAAATACAAAAATTAGCCAGATGTGGTATTACATGCCTGTAATCCTAGTTACTTGAGAGGCTGAGGTAGGAGAATCGCTTGAACCTGGGAGGTGGAGGTTGCAGTGAGCCAACATGCTGCCATTGCATTCCAGCCTGGGCAACAAGAGTGAAACTCTGCCTCAAAAACAAACAAACAAAAAAAACCCTGCAAATATTTGCTCTCTGATCTTTTACAGAAAAAGTTTGCCAATCCCCACCCTAGAGAGTAGTTCTCTTCGTGTTGTAGAAATTTCTCCCTTTACCCATTTTCTTTTGTCACCATCTAATTTTTTTTTCAACTAAACCTATTTTATTTTTCTTCCTTTATCTCCCACCTGCCTCCCAGGTTCTAGCCTTCTCTCTGTCTGTCTCTGTTTCTTCTTTCTTATCAGAATGAGTTTTCTTGCAGTATTTGAATTGTACAGAGAAATGGAGGTAATGCTAAGGAATATAATTTTAGTTTACAGCATTGGTAATTTGCTTTTTCAATACCATTCAGAAACCAGTGGCTTTAGAAAGAGAAGCTTCAGTTCAACTTAATTTAAATCTCTATGGACCTATAACTATATCTGAGACATAGAAAAGTATGTTACTCTTTTAAAGAACTTTATAACATGATTTTTTGACTTTTTTTAAATGAGTTATTTCTCTCACAGGTTTTGGTACAGTGTTTTACAGATAGACCATTATTTATTGAATGAATGAATATCAAGTCGACCCTAGACCTTAGCTTTGAGTAGGTGAATACTTACTTAACATATACTGATAAAATTACAATTCTTTACCAACTTAGATACAAAATGTTGTTGAGTTTCAAGCGTGTTTTTATTTCAAAATAACTTGCAAAATACATTTTAAAACTGGATTTTTTTCTGGTTAACAAAATAAATTTAGTGAAAATCTAAAGTAAACCTTTAAAAACATTTTGTTGATATTTCTTACATTTGAAATTATTTAATAGTTAGATGATTCATAATTTTCATAGTTGAAAATTACTGAACTGTAGGAAAGTTTTTTATTTGCAAAATTTTACTATTTAATAAGTAGCGGTTTCTACAACATTTAGAGAAGTTAAAAAGTAAGAAATATCGATAATTTGTATGGTAGAAGAGAAAGAACGAGATGTCAGAAAACCTAGGCCCTGTTCTCACCTTTTCCCCATAGTGTCATCATTTCTTTGTGTCTCCATTTTCTCATATCTGGAATGGGAAAAGACAGTCTAAATCCTGAGAAGACTTCCAGTTCTAAAATTCTTTGTTATGTTTTAATTTAAGGTCGTCTGCCATGACATAAACTTGAAGGCATTCTCTTTCAATATGCTTTTTCTTTCTATAACTCATAGTTGTATGACAAATTAATGCAGGATTATCTTCATTCATATTATAATTCATTGTTATAATTCATTCATTCAACAGATATTTATTGAATTTCAGTGTAGTATTTGTTTCTACATTTTCCTGTTTAAATGATGACAGTTAATGAAAATACCAAGGGTAATACAAATATAAAACAATTATCTTGGATCTAAACTATGAATTTTAGGGCACGTTCAGTATGATGAATATTTAGCAGTTTGGTTATCACCATTTCCTTATTATTTAATACTAAGGACTTTCCAAATATCTCTGTGACATTGATTATTTAAAAATAGTTCAACCATTTTGGAGGACAGTGTGGCAATTTCTCAAGGACCTAGAAATAGAAATACCATTTGACCCAGCAATCCCAAAACTGTGCATGTATCAGAGGATTAGAAACTGTTCTATTATAAAGACACATGCACACATATGTTCATTGTGGCACTGTTTACAATAGCAAAAACTTGGAACCAATCCAAATGCCCATCAATGATAGACTGGATAAAGAAAATGTGGCACATACACACCATGGAATACTATGCAGCCATAAAAAGGATGAGTTCATGTCCTTTGCAGGGACTTGGATGAAGCTGGAAACCGTCATTCTCAGCAAACTGACACAAGAACAGAAAACCAAACACTGTATGTTCTCACTCATAAGTGGGTGTTGAACAATGAGAAGACATGGACACATGGAGGGGAATGTTACACACTGGAGCCTGTTGGAGGGTGGGAGGGCCTCCTAGGGGAGGAATAGCAGGGGGTGGGAGTATTGGGGAGGGATAACATTAGGAAAAATACCTAATATAGGTGACAGGGGGATGGATGCAGGAAACCATCATGGCATGTGTATACCTATGTAACAATCTTACACGACCTGCACATGTACCCCAGAAATTAAAGTATAATAATAAAAAAGAAGATACCCATGTGGCCAATAAGCTTAGGAAAAAATGTTTAACATTACTAATCATTAGAGAAATTAAAATCAAAACTCCAGAACTTAAAGTATAATAAAAAATAAATAAATAAATAAAATGTTATATCCTAAAAAAAAAAAAATATTCAAAATATGTGCTTAACACTTCTGCTTCCAGTACAGATGGAATAATAGTCCCTGGATTTACTCTTATGCAATAGGCATGATAAAATAAAATAAAACAAAAGGCATCTAGATTGAAAAGAAAGAACTAATTAATACTTTATTTACAGAGAACATGATTATTTATATAGAACATTAAA